CGTAGTTGAGCACTCACCGGCCATGGACGTCTGCAAGAAGACTAGTTTGAGAGCTTCCGCGATGTCAGCTGCAGTTTGCAATGCAAATCCTGTTAATGAGAATTTGAGTTCTCCCCAAGATGCAATTCCCGTTCCAATGCTTATAAGAACTACGGCTAAGATAGAACTACATGAGGGAACCTAAGAAGATGATAATGATAATTGGAAATATGCAGTGTAGTGGTATCTTACCCGCACTCGGAAGATTAGCATAACGATGAGAATATATACAGGAGTTTGCGCTTTTAGAATTTGAGTAAATGATATCGATAGATATCGGTAAACAGAGTTACCAGTACCGATGGTAACCGCCGATAGCACTCCCAGTGGGACGAAACGACGCAGCCAAAAATGCCGAGTTACACTCGTTGGCGCCTTGCAGATGCCTGAAGAACTCGTGAAGTGGTTTTTCAGGGGGAAGTGGATTTACCTAATTTTGGTGCTATTCGCGTGACCACTGTGCATGCCCACATTCCTAAGCTGGAGGCTGTGATGGGATAAGGGAAAGTGGTTTTGTTGTATATATGTGCGTTGAGGAGTATCAATGTTGGGCCGACGAGACAGTATAATAAACAGTAGATGAGACAGGGTAGATTAACGGCGATGACCGAGCGGAGACGGGAAAGGGCTTTTCGATTTTGGGGGGCATTTGGTGAATCCATATGAAGGTAGCCTGTATGAGGGAAGGAGAACAACATGCGTTGGTGATGATGATGACCTTGGGCGAATTCTGTACACTTCTACCGATTTCATATATAAACTCCTAAGCTCAGCTGAGCTACAGCGAACATATATTCCTCCAACACTACCCCAAGAGAAGCGATCTCACCGCTATATATATACATGCCGTTTGATTTATTTAACCCCCCGGTGGTCGTAAATTGGGGGATTCTTGATTATCTTGCGTTCTTGCAATTTCTCAACTTTTATTCTAAGTGAGGGCGCGCGCTTTTGTATTTTGTTCGGTCCAAGTGGTTGAATCTTCTGCGGACCCTTTGGAGAATGTTGAGGACTTCATATATTACCATTTGTGATACTCAACGGAGCCTGACTGAATTTGACTGGTTAAGGCGGCTGTTGATGATGAACGTTGTGCTCGCCCACGTGTCACGTGTACGCACGAGCAAGTGTGACGCCCGAACCTTTTCCTGAGATGCTCCTTCGTCTCTCTATTATATCGATACTCTTACCTTACTTCTACCTTGGGTTTGGGTTGATATCAGCTCGGTATCATGGACGACGATAGTGAGATCATTTAACGTTTCGTTTGTGACTCGTATAATCTACCGTGTTTCTTCGTGTATAATTCTGTTTCCACAAAAAACCCACTGGGGCATTTTAAGGTCCTATCCGTAAAGTTGAGCTCTCGAGGAGGTATAGGCTCCTTAGCTTTACCTTGAGTTTGAAATAACATGAGGAAACCCTTGTGAAATTCTCCTTGAGAAATCCTTAGATTGGAACAATTAACTCGAGAACACCCTAATGAGAGATGTCCTATGAAATAAACCCCTGAATTTGGAGCGCGATGAAGTTATGGATGGACTGCCTTGACGAAGCCTTCTTATTGGAACTCATACTATCATGACCTCACGAATGACATACGATTCATACACGGGGATGGTCTGTATTTTACCAGACGAAAACACGGTAGAATTCGAGCATAGGTAAATCGTCGTTTGAACTACCTTGTATAGGTATGTGGCGAAAACGGTCGTTGTGTTGGAAACGGTTGTTCATGTAACTTCTGGTCAAGGGGTCCACGATGTGAGCATTTGTCATGGTAAGCAATCGTTAGTTGTCGCTCACAGAAAGAGTTATCATCAGGCCTGTATGGTTGTTGATTGTTCTCGCGGTCCTCGTCACAGTACTCGTCACATTTTGGTCAATCCAGCGATGCGTTTTGTTTTTTAACAAATCTCGAGGAGTTAAGCAAGAGGGAAAATGCCAGGTCTATTCGTCCTCTGCACCGTTCAGTCAACATGCCCAACCGTAAGATTGATAACTACTGCACTTCGTTATTGTTATCACTGTAGTACATCTAGTTGTCCTGTTCACGATGATACTTAGTCGACTTTAGTTTAAGAGCAACTGAACTATTGCGGTATACTTCGAGTCGTTAC